AAACCAATTATTATATAAAGAAAAAAGAAAAAAAAAAGAAATTAAAAATTATCAAAAGAAAAAAAAAATTAAAAAAATCAAATATAAAACAATTATCTAAAAAAATTATAAGATTAAATAAAATATTAATAATTATTTTGAAGTAACAAAAGTGTTAGATATAATTTTTTTCAGACTTTACTTTTAAAACAATAATATATACAATGTAAATTTTAGAATTACAATTTTAATATCCAAAAATTTCTAAATTAAGACTTTGAGCAAAAAATTGATTAATTCAAATTAGTGAAGTAAAATATCATTTCTTAAGTTATATCTAGAAAAACAATCTTTAGTAATAGATAGAAATCAAATCGAGCTAAAAATATTTTCGCAATACTACACAATAAATATAAGCCATATTAGTCTAACTGCAAGGTTAAAAAAATATTTAAATTTTTCTTTTTCTTTTATTATTTCTTTTTCTATTATTCATGATATAAAAAAATAATATATATAAGAGACAAAAATTTTCAAAGAAAGCCATTTACTTTGTATATAATACCGTATACTAACCTGACTAATGAAAAATATTTTGATTTCTATTTTTTATTAAAGATTTTACTAATACGTTAAAAGCCTGCCATTAAATGACAGAGCAAAGTAATTTTTATTTTAATGGCTCAAACAATTTTTTAAAAAATGTCGGTGAATTACGTGACCATAACGGATTTATATACTGTACTCGACTTTTTTTCAACTACTTTTTGGTTTTAACCATAAGTCGGAAAGAAACGATACTTTAAAATCACGAAATATAAAATCATTCGTATTTACACTTCAACAGTTCATGTGAATCTATGATATGCATATATACACGATCAATATCGAAAGACTGCCATATGTAGACTTTTTTTTTCGAATATAATGAATTGTTGATTTTTGATTTTGTTTTGTTTTTAATAAAACACAAAGAAGCCTAGATAACCCAACCTTTTTTTTTTTTAAGAAATTAATGATTTTCAGATACTAATTAATACTTTTTAAATAATTCTATTCCTAAAGAGAAAAACAAAAATAATAGACAAGATTTTCTTTGTATGTAAATAATATTGCTACCTCATGCCGAACACCGCGTAAATGGGAAAAAAATAAAAGAAAATCCAGCCCAATCGCGCACCGTTTAATGTTAAATAAAAACAAATGTAAAGAAATTGTCTATGAATGAAATAAACGATTACATGAATATGAAATGATGGATATAACTACATTTTTTTGAATTAAATGATGATATTAAGGTACCTCCTTTTTTGTTTTGCACATTCATCCCGATCACTCATTCATAAAAAAATGAAATATTGTTTTCATCTTTGAGGCACTATCACACAAACACAAATTCGCTGCTGAGATCCGATGAACTACTATTATTGTCGGCGTAATTGAAAATAAGCGGCTTCGAAAATTCAGATGACGAAAACTTATTCAAATTTAAAAATTTTTTTTCAGAGATGAGATTATTACAATTATTCTCCGTGGATACACGAGAAGAGTTCGAGTTTTTGAGATTACGCGTCGTCGAAGATGGTGATGAGGAACATGGAACCTTTGATTTCCCAGAATCATTAGTTCGCGTCAAATAGGGATTGTCAGACTGAGCCTCTTTTAGCATCTCGGTCATCGTCTCGGTGTCAGGACAAAAACTTTGGCAAAAGACTTGATCCAATTGCACCCCGTTTAATAATTCCGTGAGAGGATCATTCTGAGGAACTATATTCTTATAGGAATAATGCTCATCCATTTGTGCTTCCTTCAGTAATTTAGTTAGAATTTTCGTGGTGTTGGAGTCATCGTTATCTTGGCTGGAGAGATGAACCCATTCGAGAAGTTGACCGTCATAAAGTTCGCTGGATAGCATCAACTTTGCTTCTTCTTCTATATCCGTATCGTCTTCTTCGGTCGTCAGGTAATCGTTGAAAGGAGAGTATGTCGAAGGGCTTGCCGATGAAGGGGATGATGAAAGAGAAGTATTTAGTTGCATCTCGTGAATGATCTTTTGAGGTATAGCCAAAGAAAATTGCGATCTTCTGTCCCGTTTATCATCGCTTTCATCATTTGATAAAGGGACTCTCAATTCGTTTTCCTTCAATTCTGATCCGCCAAGGACATCCCATTTGTCGTCTTCGCATTCAGACTTCCTTGCACCATCATTTTTCTTCGAACTCGGATTCGACGAATTCTCTTTCTTTTCCAGAACGAACGAGCGCCACACTGTCCAAACTTTCTCTGCAATTCTTCTCTTTCTCCTTTTTGTGAACAGGCTAACGAGGTAATACTCGGAGGGAAATTCGTCAAGATGATACGGATGATGTGTTAGACTATCAAAGATCGAGATGTCTGTGCCCGGAGGCGCCGACAATAGAGCGATCGAGTAATCATCCTTTGGAAAATAATATTCGGACCATAAGGTAATCACTCGAGCTCCGGTGTCAGGTCGTAGGACATCTTTTTTCCATGAATGATCATTCCATGTACTATGATCGTTATGATGAATTAAATCGTATGGGAGAACCCCATGATAATGCGCGTTCTTGAAACATTGCTTATGCTCGTCGACCCAAAACCATATACTCTTGGTTCTCTCTCTCAACTGCACAGCTTCCCTTTCGAATTCAGAGTTACACAGGAAGTCACCAAACGGAGAATTACCGCCAGCAGCTCGAGCAAGGCATAATAAAAAGAAATCATTGTACTCGAATGAGTATGGGAACTGTTGCAGAAGATTATGAAGACAGGTAAGAAATAAAAGAAATACGGGCGCCGGCGAAGGAGTCAAATATGGCGGCTCTTTCTGGAAACGAGACGAGGATTTTCGGCTTTTTGCATGCGACTTGTTATCGTTGTTCCGAAGATTACATTTGAGACCGTCACGTGACCGGAACGGGTGTCCATAGGAGATCCACTCTTTTTCAATCAACACCTGAAGTCCCTATCGGTATCAAATATTATATTTTCGATGTGACGTTGATTAGTAGATGAAAAAATCCGAGTGCGTACGGGTAATTAAAATAACAATAACATACTTTTATGGTTCGGTAGAAAGGGTCTATCATTATCTGAGCCAAGGACACTAGTTGTGTTGTCCTTCAATAAACATAAATAAATAATATAAAAATATATATATATGATATATATTGTAAGGGTACGGAAAATAACGACAACAACGACAACGATACCAGCAAATGAAGATAGTAATAATATATCAAGACGACAGGCAATCACCATTCTTACCTATCCCAACCGTCCGTACAATGCTTTATTAATTCAAGGGTTAAAAGAAAACGTGAATTATTATAATTGCGCAATGATGATAGTAATTGCGGAATAAAGCAATATTGTAATTTCATGTTATAATTATTAAGGCATACCACTAAAACACTTGCGTCTTCGTCAACTAATTTTCCCACCACTCCATCCTTACCGCCAGCAGCTCTAAGCAAATCAGCTACATGACCCAACCATCCAGTAGATTCCAATACTGAAAACCAATTCGGTGAAGACGCGTTGTTATTGATCGCATGCAACAAGGACGCGTGAGAACTTGAGATAACGTGGATATTGGAAAGTCCAAGAAACTGAAGGGTTGAGTTTGGAGGATAATGTTCTGTTGACGAAATAAATAAATGCGAGGAACAATAATAATAAGAAAGATTTAATGATAAAATAATAATAATAATAATAATAATAATAATAATAAAGCCTACCCATATTTTCGTACCCACCGCCTTGGTACCCATTTGATAAAGCGGCAGTGTAACTTCTGGCATCCAATACACAAAGTTTCATATTACATGGTTCGTAGGTTCCCTCGGAATATCCAGGAATCATATGGTGGGTGACATTTGCGTTTTCTGCACATTCGCCCGTGACCGATTCATTTAATATTTGTTGCTCTTCTTGGACGGTAACGAGAACATCGTGCATCAACGTCTCATCTTCCACCCCCCTTGATCCTAAAAAACCAGACATCGGTTGTCCACTTCGCATCAATATATTATGACCTTTTTTTCCAGCAGACGACAGGAAAACGACCACGACATCGAAAGCGTGAAAGATTTCGGAAAAAAGTCGAAACATTCGATGAAGAATCGGAGGCATCGGAATACGAGCTAGATGAGGTGTCGGAATGAATAGATGAACCTTTTTTAAGAATTTGGGATGGAATAATGAACTCCTGAGGGTATGTTTGTGACAATGAAAAATCGTCGTTGATGGATGCAATACACCTAAAAGCATATACGCAATAAATTTCGTCAATAAAACAATAACAACACAGATAATAATAAATGGAATGGTCATTATGTCACCATATTAAGTAAAAATCACCATGAATCTCGATTCATCTGCATCCTTTCGAATTCCTTCTGTATCTTGTAACCTCTTGTCCAACCCAAATCCCGGGTGCGCATAAACACGGATTCTTCCAGGCCTTTATTTATCACATCGTCATCTTCATCTTCGCTACTCCACTCTCCAAATAATTCATTGAAAATTTTTTCTTCTCGTGTTAATTTCCTTTTTTGTTGTGAGTTTCTTCGATCACGCCTAATAAAATCACCGCTCTTTTTCATCACTTCCACTTCACCCATACAAAAAGCGAAAACATTTTCTAAGCAACTAGGATAAACGAAGCGTTTTATTATGGTAGAAAAGTCGTGACATAGTGAGTTGGCAGTTGTCCGGACGTTTATAAAGTTTCCGACTATTGCAGTCGGCTTCGGTTTCGAAAACTTGAACAGGTATTTTGATGGTGAAAACTTTAAAGACAACGTTATTTGGGCCTGCGACTCTTCAATTTGAGATATGGAAAGATGTGGAATTTGGGTGGTAGGAGTTTTCGAGGAGAATGGTGGATGATGTGGCGATGTTAATACATGGCGACTGGAAGAGTTTCTTATGGGTCGATAACAAATTCGATAGTTCGTGATTAATACAGTAGACTTAATAAGCCCATAAGAAAAAAAATAGAGACAGGTTACTTGGATGATGAAGTACGAACGTGGAAATATCAATTAGGGAATCAACTCACCTCCGTAGTGGCATCCATAGAATTGTGGTACTCTCCGACCTCTTTAAAACCACCGTCAGCCGTAGTCTCAAAGAGTCTTATGGCACAGGTTTTCGCTATGAATTCTATGGTTTCTCCAGGTAACAATGAAAGACCAGGAGGTATTATCAATTTTGCACTTTCTAAATCAAACCCCATTTTGAAGCTAGGCGTACGAGTAAGTTTTTGATGAATTCAATTTAATTTACGAAATATTATTAAAAAGCACTAATGGAGTTGATAAAAATTTATAAAAGATCATTCTTACTCCATGTCAAATTGATGACGCAACACTGTGGGAGTCGGTTCGTAGAAAAAAAGACAATGATGAATGTGATAGAATGATTAATATAAAAAGGTCGTGGGATGAATTTAAAACTAAATGATCGTTTTATTCTACTTCGGTAGCTACCTTGCTTGTCGTCTACGAATAGTGTCATATGATCACTAGAAGGATAAATACTATGGTCTGAGGTCGGACGAACGGTTACGACCACGATTTCATAGAAACTTTCCAGGCGTGTTCAGAAAACTCCAAAAAATTTTTTTTTTTTTTTTTTTTTTTGTTACAATTACTTATTTATTTATTTATTTATTTCCTGTTAAAGAAACAAAATGGGAAGAAGGGAAGAGGGCGCAGGTGAAAAGGGTGGAACTTTATATCAACCGGAGGATTGGTGTTTGTGTCACACTAATATGATATTTCGACAGGTATCACATTTTCACATGAGTTAAGTTTGACAATATGGAAATCATCTGGAATTTCCGATAGAAACGTTAAATTCGTAAGTGCATGGCAAAATTTAGAACAATGACTTATTACAATACCTAGATTTAGTAAAAATGAAAACTTTAATTTAAAAAAAAATTTTTTTTCGTTTAATGAGGGATTACGAGTTAACCCGAAATTGATTTACAAATACGTGTCAATTTCTTGTCGAATCATTCGATCACATTTCTTATGTGCAAATCTTTTTTTTTCTTTTTCGATAATATCGTTATGTATGCAATTCATCTATGATTAACCATGAGATTTCTGCACAATTTTAGATCTCTAGGTCTCCTAAAGAACTAAAAAAAGAGATTGTCGCAACTCGCAACTTCATTATTTTTCAGGTTCCCTTAAATTCCCTTTTCCTATGATCACGTAATTGCTTAGTTCGTTGGATGGTGAAGTAAGAAGCATATATGTACTGTACTGTATGCACAACCTTTAATAATCCGAAGATTTTTATCATCACCCTCATCACACGGACCGGAATCGGACGATGTGTCTTCTTTTTTTCGTGAATTTCCTGTATTTGACCTTTGCGGGGCTTCTTGATCCGATGGAAGTTTCATCAACGGACCTGTGTGTATGGGGAAAAAAGAAAAGATTGGTTGGCATCAAAATTCGGAAGACAATGGAATAAATTATAAAATAAACGTTGCCACCCGCGAGTCCTCCCGAACCCTCCTTCATCATCTTAAGAATACGACGTGCAGTTACCATTCACAAAAGCGAAATTTATTCCCTTAAATTTTATTTATTAACTATTAATCTATTTAAGTCTATATACAGTAAATTGAATGCGCAAATTCTTAAATATGATGTATTCACTTCATTCTCGCCATGCGTGAAACTAATTGAAAATAAGATGAATGAGAAGTACCTGGCATCAAAGTAATACCAAAGGCTGGTAAGTTAGTTGCGCCGCAAGGAGGTTCGACTTTTTTGGAAGGATCCATTATTAAAAAGAAAAACAAAGGTTTCTTGAGCGCAGTAAGAAAAAAAAAAAGCCTTAATTTAATAATAATTTAAATACTAACGCTAATAAGAAATGGCTATATTGTCTACAATAGTTTTAACTCGATTATACTACGGAGCATGACGTAAGGGAGTTTGTAACTTTACTCCTTTTTGCGAAATAAAAATCAGTAATTCAGATGCACATTTCGTCATTGAAGTTTTTATACACACATGAAATTCGACACGTAATCATGTAGGCACTATGATTCTATATAGTAATTTATTCCGAAAGCGGAAAAATGTTGAATCTAAAATTCATCAGCTCCTTCCATCAACAACAAATCATTATTGTTGTTCGATGGAATGACGAAAACCGGGTGGGAGCAATGGTTCCTTAGAATCGATATCCATTGGTCTTTTGATCTTGATGAAAACGTGAGTAGGGTCATGAATTTTGTATGGATATGCTTCACAATTTATGCACATTTCAAATTCGGCGCAATGACCACACTGAGGTTTGGATGGAGAATTGCAAAGTTAATCATGAGATCGCGGCGAAAACAAAAAAAAAAACAGAATTTCTTGTGCACCTTATGCCGAATCCCCCGGATGTTCTTATGGCATACACTGCAAATGGTCTTGTGGTCAATATCTAACAATTAATTATTAGTTAAGTATGTGCTATGTGCTGCACGCATTTCTTCGAACAACCGATGGACCTAATGCTCACCATTTTCATCTTGTTCGATTAACCGAAATTCGGGAAGCAAGGCAGTTTGTGTAAAGTTATGATTGTCAATCAGACATCTGATCTTTAGAAAGACATGCGTACGATCGTGGTTGGAACCTTCGCAGCTGGCACATATATCATAATCGTCACAATGTCCACACTGAAACGATACGGATTAGTGAATAATAATTTTAATTAGATTGGCAATATGAATAAATTTTACTCGTGTAAAAACCTCGATGTCCCCCGAGAATTAAAAAAGCTAGGCACTTTCTAGGTGCTGACCTTGTATCTGATTCCGACGATATATTTATTGCATACATTGCAATAGGCGGGATGCATGTTATTATTATCTGAATAGAAAGTTATCACGCAATTGAATCGTCAATTATATTAAGAAGGGTAACCATTTTTACGCACCTCCTTGACTTTTAACCCTCATAATACGATCCTGCTCAACAATCACATGCCTTAATGCACTCATTTCAGCTTTCAATGCGTCATAGGATTTGGTCACCTCATCAGTTTCTTGACGCATCGTGACGCACATGTCCCTTAATCTTTTCACTTCCAATTGCAAAGTTTCTATTTCCAGCTCATTTTCTGCATTTATACACTGCAACCTCTTATACTCGGTATCCAAGGTCTCGTGTGCGATCTTGATCTCTGCTCTATTCTGTTCCAATATACTATTGCGACCCGATAATCTTTCTACCTCGTATTGCCAGTTGCTAATCTCATTCTCGGATTCATTTATTTTATTCTGTAATCTTCGTAATTCAGATTCGAGCAAACGATTTTTCATATCCACTTCGATTTTGTCTCTTGAGAGTTCGGTATTCTGCAGCCCAACACTTTCCAATTCGCTTCTAAGTTGTTGAATGGTTTTCCCACACTCTCGAGTTTTATCTTGTAATTCTTCGACTTGTTCATCGAGCAACTCTTTTTGTGATTTCAATAAAAGGAACTCTTGTGATGAATTCTCATTCTTCAATACTTGCTGCTGAAGTTGCCAGACTTTGATTTTTAAGGTTTCGACCAGGCTCTTTAACCCATCTCTCTCTATGTCCGATTCATAAAATTTTGCTTTCAATTGGTTAAACTCATTCACTTGACTGGCATTGTTATCGTTGGTTGTGTTTAATGAGTCATCTTTATTTGAGATGTTATTGTCGCCACCACCTTTGTTGTTGTATGAACTTTCCGAGTTTACATAAATCTTTTTTTCCTTTACACGATCTCGACGAGCTTTGCTTCCTTTCAACATTTCTTTGAAAGAGCTTTTAAGAAAAGCAGTTTATCAGTTAAATAATTTATACCCGTTCACAGGATGACAATTCCCCTTGTTCAAATGAAACTCCTCGTATTACGTAAGCTCGTCAGTTCAGAAAATGCCGAAGACACGTGTTATCAAACGCCAAAGTATCAATATTTGATTTTTTTTTTTATTCAGTTATTGGAATTTATCTTATCATGGTCTTAAGGAAAAGATGATTTTATTATTTTTGTAAATAATAAATAAACAAAGAATAAATAAAAAAGAAAGGAATTAAAGGGAAAAAAAAGAATAAATGAAATTATTATTAGTTTATAAAGATAAAAATACTAAAACTTACTGTAATATCTGCAACTAGGCTAGATTGTTAATTTATTAATTAAATAAATATATCAATATATTTTTATTTAAGCAGCATGATATATATCATAGCTGAACTTTTCTAATCAAATTTAACTAACTCATCATAGGCAATAATAGAACTAAGTTTGATTTTAAAGATAATATTTTGTTTTATAATAGATTTTGAATAATAATTTTTCTAATTCATATATTATTGTTGACAAGTTATTATTACTATATATTTTATCAAACCATTAGATATAGAAAATTACAAAGAGGCAGGTTAAAAAAAGAAAAGAGAAATATTTAAAATATTTAATATATTACAAAAAAATAAATAAGTAAAAATTTTTTAATTTTTTTTAAAAATCTATTTTTCAAAACTTTTTTTAATAAAAAATTACAATAAATGTTTTTTTTCTAATTATTCAAATATTTTTTTATAAAAAATCAATTTTATTCAAATATTTTTTTAGAAGAACAATATTTTTTTTTAATATTTTTTTAGAAAGACAAAGTCTTATTATCATTATTAAAATATGATTAAATTTATATTTGATTAATATATTTAAGTGGGATTGTTTTTAAAAGAACAATTCTCAAGAAAAAAATTCAAGAAGTGATTTATAATAATAAAAAAATAATAAAGAATAAATTTGATGAAAATTCCTTTAAGTAGTATTATACAATGTTTAATAAAAAATATAGTTTGTTTAAAATTTAAGTTTATTAATAAATTAGAAAAATTAAAACAATTCTTTTAATACTAAAGTCAAAAGAAGATATCAAATCTTCAAAAAGTCAATTGAAATTATTATATAAACTTATCCTACTCTTGAGTAAATTATGATTGCTTATATATTTATAAAAATAAGTCACTTAGACAACTTAAGCTTTCTAAATCTTTTAGGTCTTCTAGACTGTCTGATTTATAATAAATTTTATTATATACCATATTTGATAAAATAATCTATACTAATTAAGTATCAATAAAAATATTAAAAAAAATAATTATAAATAAATAGATAAAAATAGAAATAGAATAAAGATTATAGCAAAAAAATAACTATTCAATAATATTAAAAACTATTTTTATTGCAATATATTTATTTAGTAAATATAAATTAGAATAAATATTATATATTAGAATACTTAAAAAGATTTAAAGAGATCCAAATATTTATATTTATAAAATATTGTAAATATAAAATTTTAAGTTAATGTCTATAATAAATAGTATAAATATCTCAGCTTTAATTCAAACAATCTCAATTAGTACAGAAATATCAAGAATTATATTCTTGAAATTAGAATTAAATTTCAAGAAAATTAATGATATTTTGATTAAAAAAAATAATAATTAAGCAAGACTCTTAAATATAAATAAAATATATATTAGTCTAATAATCAAAATACTAAATAATACTTAAGTTAAAGTATATTTCATATTTAAAAATTCTTTTATAATTAAGAAACAAAACTTTATAGTAATTGGCTTTATGATAAAAAAAAACTAAAAATAATGTATATATATTTTTTTTTTAACGAATTCAGCTTTGTTTTATTATTGTTTTTCAAATTATATTTATATAAAGTAGCTGATGCTATGGTATATGAATGTAGCTTTAATAATAATAAAACTCGATAAGTTATATACTACCTCATGGCTTGTTGCCCTTTCCTCAAGAAAAAGAAAACTAACATAGCAAGGCCATATTAGTTGTTGGGTAAAATAATAACAATATAAAAATATTAGTATTGTACTTAATATATTCATTTATATAGCTATTGATTATTCTGATTAAACTTGTGCTTTGGTCTTTTGTTAATGGGTTACATGAGATGTTTTAATCCTATTGCTACTTGTCTTGAGTGCATTTAATATATTTTGTTGTCTTATTTCTTGGTGTACTTTGGACTAAAAGTTTTTTTCATTTCCTTATTGTATTAATGATTAATCTGGTAATTGCTTTATTGATATTCATTATCTTGTTGAGTGTTTCTGAAATTTCTCTTGTGACTGCACTCCTAATGAGTAACTTGAAAATCCTGAGTGCATTTAGGTGGATATGTTATTGTTCAATATCTTTAAAGTTTCTCTTATATTTTTTACAAATATATTGGGATATATGTTTTATTGAAATTCTATAAAAGTTCTTTTTTAGGGTATTCTTTTGATTGTTACATAGGAAGAAATGAGTAGTATTTTCTATTTTTTTACACTATGGGCTTAATTTGTAATTTTTTATTAATCAAAACTATTATATTATTACAAATAAGTAGTTATACATATATGTTATATTAAATTATATCTATATGAATAGCTATATATATATTTAAACTAATACTATATACAACCATTATCAGCCTATCCCTAAGCTGGAAGCCTATGTGATTCTGTCAAAATTATTCCGAGAACAATTTTTTCTTAAAAGTATTCTAGTTATCAAGCTGATGAATTCAGTATCCTGGATTCCAGTTTTTGATCCTTCAGAGTAGTCTACAGATTTCTCCTCCTACCAAAACCTTCTTATAGTTAAATATATGAAATATAATATAGCTACATGCATGAGAAAAAGGACTGGCTTATTCTGAAAGGGTCCTTGCTCTTGCATACAAGTTTTATGTTAAGCCATTTTTGTATTCCTAGATGAGTTATATTCTTGTTTTGGTCTTGAGAGGCATGCTACTGGTTTGAGAATCTATTCTTCTTGTTATAATTTTTGATAACACAGTTATATCAGTGATAATCCTATTCAATTCAGATTACAATCTGATCACAATCTAGATATGACTGGATGCTATATTAGAAACATTGGTTAGTTTATAGTTATATCAATGGACAGATTCAATTTCTTATGAACAGTCTTATATTTGAGTGGAATTGAATCTGGATCTTGTGATCTGATCTATAAAGTGTTAACCACTGCACTATTGACCTATAGGTCTTAAGATAATGTATACAAATAATATATATTTTTACAAAAATTATACTTTTTCTAAAGTATTAAACATATTATTATTTTAAAAAAAAAAATCCTAAAAAGTATAAAAAGCCTGAATACAAGAGTCAAATATAATAAAATAGAAGTATACAGTATAATAATTTGATTTCAGACTTATTATTAAACAGTAAATTCAAGAATTCTATTTTTATTTTTACAAGATATTAGAGCTCTAGAAATTAAAAAAAAATCAAATAGTACTATAATAAAAGAATAAGATAAAAAAATAATAGAATTGATAGGTACCTCATAATAGAAAACAATAGAAGACCTATAAAAAACCAAAAATATAATAAATAAAATACAAGATAGAATCTGAAATAAGAAGTACATAAAATTCTCTAAAATATATTTTAATAAATATTGAAAAATTAATTAATAGTTTACTTTAGAGCTAACTACAAATTAGTAATGATACTAACATGTATGTTAGAAAATTTGTATGCAAAGATTTCTCCCGATTCGGATCACCTATGAGGATCTTTGTGGTTTGTTGCCTTCCAGGAAACTAACTTGCCTGGGCTGAGCTAGTGAATGTATTCCTTATAGTTATTACTAAGGAAGTGTAATTAAAAAAAAAAAAAAGGGCAGTCGAGTGATGACCTAAAAATTTTCTCTTCTACCAACCGTCCACTGAGACTTTCACCATGAAAAGAACTAACATCTACAAATTATCTGCTGGAGTGTAGTGTCTAAATCTTTGAAAGGGAGAGGGGGAGGGTTGTCTTTCTTGAGAGAAGTGGGGAATGGTTTCAAAACTTCATGTTTTGCCTAGGGGATTACTCATTCAAAGAATCAGACGGAACCTATGGCTAAGAGGATACCTTGAAATCTATAGAAGAGTTGTCGACCTAGTCCTAAAAATAGTATCAGCTTTAAGCATACACTGCTTATTTAAAAAGGTGCAAATCTTCCAAAGTCAGGCTAAGTCTTTAAGGGGTCTACTAATCTGGCAAATATTTTCATTTGAGTACTCTCACTAGAAGTAAGATTGGTGGGTACTACTAGCGACCATAGAAGGCCGTGCTGGAGGGGGAGTCGTGTTGGAATTCTTGGTGTTGTTCTTCAGTTTGTGGTCCTCCCACAAACTATGGATCAGGAACAAAAAACCCACCAGCTGGGAAAAACTTCCTGTCCATCTTGTTTGTTTTATTTAAAAGAAAGCAGATCTTTATCTATCTGCCAGAGCTACGAGAACCTACTTGGTTGTCAAGGGTAGGTGATTTCAATATCAAAAACGATTGAAATATCTTGTAACCTTTTTCATGGTTGGATGGACTCTTTTATCTAAATTTAGACTGATATAGAAGAGAGTATGTCCTATATGCACCCACGTACACGCAACGACTTACGGTGGACCCATGTTCTTATGGAGCTGAGGAAATGCATTCAGACACGTGAGATGGCCAATAGGAGCTTGTTTATCAATCTTGTCCAATGTGTTTCGCGCTAGCCAATCAGAGTTGGTAAGATCTGTGCTACCCAAAATTTCAGGGTCAAACTGAGGTAGCCAAAATTCCTCAGAAAGCTATGAAAAAGGTAGCTCTGAGAGGCCATAGGACCAACAGTCAAAGGGGAGAAAGATGAGTCCTTTGACTGAAGATGGAAATCTCTGTTATCTCTACATAGCTAAAAGGTAAGGGG